AACCATTAATCGTCAGGGTCTAACTAACATTTATACAGCATTCTACCAACAAAAGCAAGAATATACATTCTTTTCAAGTGCCTACAGAACACTGACCAAAATAGACCATATCTTGTGAACAAACTTCAACAAATTTAAAATAAATTGAAATTGTACAGAGCATGTTCTCTAAATATAATGGAATTAAACCAGAAACCAATAACAGAATGATAACAAGAAGGTCTCCAAACACTTGGAAACAGCATTCTTTTCAATAATCCATGACTAAAGAGGAAAACTCAAGGTAAATTTAAAAAGATATTGAATCAAATAAAAATGAAAATACAATATATTAAAATTTGTGAGACATAGCTAACACAGTACTGTGAGGAAAATTTATAGCACTAAAAGTGCATACATAAGAAAGAAGAAATATCTCAAACTGATAATCTAAACTTCCAACAATGAAGAGGAGCAAATTAAACTCAAAGCAAGCAGGAGGAAAGAAATAAGAAGAGCAGAAATCAACAAAACAAAGACCTGAGTCTTTTGAAAGATCAAGAAAATTGACAAATCTGTAGTTAAGACTAACAAGAAAGAAAGAAGATACCAATGACCAATATCAGGAATGAAATAGGGGATATCACTACAGACCCTGCAGACATCAAAAAGATATTAAATGAATACTCTGAACAACTCCAGACACATAAATCTGAGAACTTAGATGAAATGGACCAGTTTCTCAAAAGAAAACCTACCACAATTAATATAATATAAAATAGATCATTTGAATAGCCACATAACTATTGAGGAAACTGAAATTTTAATTTAAAAACTCCCCAAAAAGATGTTGAGGTTTTCCCTTAAATTTTCCTTGTCTAGCAAGCAAGATGGAGGAGTTTCACCTCTTGAAGATACCCCTGTTCCCCAGGAGCACCCTACCCATCCTTAGAGCTTATGAGTCATATGGGGAAGAGGATTCTTCAAGACAGAGCAATGCAATACTTGTAACTTTTGTTAATAGCCTCATCTTTCAAAATGATGTCATTTTTACAATTGATATGCTTGTATTTATGTAGGATGTATATAGTTTAGGAGATTTTTTTGTTTGGTTTTATTTTTTAGAAAAGTCAACATGCCTGTTTTTATTTATTGCTTGAAAAGATCATTTGAAGAAAAATAAATACATTTTCAACCACCAAATAAATAAACAAAAACTCCCCAAAAAGAAATCTCCAGGATGGGATAGTTTCACTGGAGAATTCTACCAAATATTTAGGGAAGAATTATCTCCAATCCTACACAATTTCTTCTAGGAAATAGGAGGGAACAGTTCCCATTTCACTTTACAAAGCTAGTATTACCATGAAGCCCAAACCAGACAAAACAACGAAGAGAAAGAGGGAGAGAAAACTACAGAACAATATCCCACATGAATATAGATGCAACAATCCTTAACACCAGATTAAGCAAATAGAATTCAGCAATATGCAAAAATAATAATAGAACATGCCTAAATGGAGTTCATTCCAGGGATGCAAGGCTGGTTCAATATTTGAAGGTCAATCAATGTAATCTATCATATTAACAGAAAACAAAATTAACATAATCATAGCAATTAATGCAGAAAATAATTTGATAAGGTTCAAAGCTCATTTATGATAAAAACTCTCAGAAAAATAGGAATAAGGGGGAACTTTCTCAACTTGAAAAAGAGCATCTACAAAAACCCTACAGCTAACAGCATACTTAATGCTTAAAGACTGAATGCTTTCCCCTAAGATCAGGAATAAGGCAAAGATGGCTACTCATACCACTCTTATTCAACATAGCCCTGGAAGTTCTAGCCAGTTGAAAAGGCCAGAAAAGGAAATAAAAAGTATACAGATTGGAAGGGAAATAATAAAATTGTTCCTATTTGCAGACAACATGATTTTGTACATAGAAAATCTCAAAGACTCTACAAAATAAAAATCTCCTAGAATTAATAAATGAGTTCATCAAGGACACAGGAACAAGATAAATACACACAATTCAGTTGCATTTCTACATACTAGCAATGAACATGTGAACACCAAAATTAAAAACATATAACATTTACATTATATTTTTTATTTTTATTTTATTATTTTTTACGATTTTATCCATTTGACAAAGAAAGAGAGATCACAAGCAGAGGGGAGTGGAAGAGGGAGAGGGAGAAGCAGGCTCCCACTGAGCAGGGAGCCCAACGCAGGGCTCAATCCCAGCACCCCAGTATTATGACCCGAGCCGAAGGCAGCAGCTCAACCGACTGAGCCACTCAGGTGCCCTACAATATATATATATTTTTAAAGATTTATTTATTTAAGAGAGAGGGAGAGAGAGCACACATGCGCAGTGGGGAGGGGCAGAAGGAGAGGGAGAGAGAATCCCAAGCAGACTTTGCACTGTGCATGGAGCCTGACTTAGGGCTCAATCCCATGACCCCAAAATCACGACCTGAGCTGAAACCAAGAGTCCAACGCTCAACCGACTGAGCCACCCAGGCAAACCCACAATATTTTTTTAAAAAGAAATATTTAAGTGTCAATCTAACAAAACATGCACAGGATCTGTATGCTTGAAAACTACAAAAGACTCATGAAAGAAATCAAAGAAAAAATAAATGGAAGAGATGTACTGTGTTCATGGACTGGAAGACAAGATAGAAAAGATGTCAATTTGCCCCAAACTGATATACAGTGCAAGGCATATATATTGAAATTCCTATCAAAATCTCTCCAAGGGGGAGCCTGGGTGGCTCAGTCAGTTAAGCAGCTGACTCTTGGTTTCGGCTCAGGTCATGATCTCAGAGTCCTAGGATTGAACCCCATGTCTGGCTCCACGCGCCACACTCAGCAAGGAGTTTGCTTCAGGATTCTCTCTCTCCTTCTGCCCCTTCCCCTGTTCATTCTCTCTCTCTCTCTCTAAACAAATCTTAAAAAAAAAACAAAAAACCTCAAAGATTTTTGTAGATATACACAAGATTATTCTAAAGATTTATTTATTTATTTGAGGGAGTGGGGAAGAGGGACATAATCTCAAGCAGATTCCCTGTTGAGCGCAGAGACGACTTGGGGCTCTATCTCATGACCCCGAGATCATGACCTGAACTGAAACCAAAAGTCGGACACTCAACCGACTGAGCCACCCAGGCACCCCCAGACAAGATTATTCTAAAACTCATATGGAAAGGCAAAGGAACCAGAATAGCTAACACAATTTTGAAAAAAGAAGAAGAAAGTGGAAGGAATCAGTTTTACATGGTTTCAAGACTAGGTAGCCATAGTAATAAAAACTGAATGATATTGGCAAAGGGATAGACACATAGATCAATGGAACAGAATAGGAAACGAAAAATATACCCACACAAATACGTCCAACTGATTTTTGACAAAGGTGCCAAAGCAATTCAAGGAAGAAAATACAGCCTTTTAATAAATGGTGCTGGGGCAAGAGGACATGCTTGGGGGGTAGGAAGGGGAAAAGAAAGGCCTCAACCTAAGTCTCAAACTTTAAATGAAAATTAACCCAGAGGCGCCTGGGTGGCTCAGTCAGTTAAGCGTCTACCTTCGGCTCAGGTCATGATCCCAGGGTCCTGGGATTGAGCCCCACATCGGGCACTTCTCCTTCTCCCACTCCCCCTACTTGTGTTCCTGCTCTCCCTCCCTCTCTCTCTCTGTGTCAAATAAATAAATACATAAAATATTTTTTTAATTTTTTAATTTTTAATTTATTTTTTATTTTTTTAAAGATTTTATTTATCCATTTGAGAGAGAGAATGAGAAAGAGAGCATATGAGAGGAGGGAGGGTCAGAGGGAGAAGCAGACTCCCCGCCGAGCAGGGAGCCCGATGTGGGACTCGACCCCGGAACTCCAGGATCATGACCTGAGCCGAAGGCAGTCGCCCAACCAACTGAGCCACCCAGGTGCCCCCATAAAATATTTTTTTTAAAGAAAGAAAATTAACTCAAAATGGATCACAAACTTAAATGTAAGATGTAAAACTTTGAGAAAAAAAAAAGGAAAACACTTAGGGAAAAACCTTTGACATTTAGGGATAAGCAAAGAATTCTTGGATTTGGAGCACCTGGGTGGCTCTGTCAGTTAAGCATCTGCCTTCGGCTCAGGTCATGATCCCAGGGTCTTGGTATTGAGCCCCTGCATTGGGCTCCCTACTCAGTGAGGAGTCTGCTTCTCCCTCTGCCTCTCCCCCCACCACTTGTGCACTCTTTCCCTCTCTGAAATAAATAAATACATACAATCTTAAAAAAAAAAAAAGAGTTCTTGGATTTAACATGACTCATAAAAGGAAAAATTGATAATTGAATTTTGTCAAAATTAAAACACTTTGAGAGATCCTTTGCAGAAAATGAAGACAAGCTACAGAGAGAAAATATTTGCAAACCTACATCTGACAAAAGACCTATATCTAGAATAGATTAGAACTCTCAAAACTCCTGGCACCTGGGTGGCTCAGTCGTTAAGGGTCTGCCTTCGGCTCACGTCATGATCCCAGGGGCCTGGGATCGAGCCCCGCATCGGGCTCCCTGCTCCGCAGGAAGCCTGCTTCTCCCTCTCCCACTCCCCCTGCTTGTGTTCCCTCTCTCGCTGGTCTCTCTCTGTCAAATAAATAAATAAAATATTTAAAAAAAAAAAAAGGATTTGAGTTCCTTTACCCCCATTTTATAATCGCTGCCTGACAAAGAAAATCAAGGAATTTTCTCCCCTTACTTAACGTCTAACTCCCCCTTCAGTGTTGGTTCTGGGCTTTAAGATTCCCCAGTGTTCTTCTGTGTTCTTTCTAAGGCACACATTCTCCCTCCCAGTTCAGTGAGTCCCCACAGGAAATGCTAACTTCTCTCGCAATCTCGGATATTGGGTCCATCACTCCTTGCCTCCCCAACCCCCCTGACACTATAGGACGCAGTCAGTGGAAAAGCCCATTCCTGCCCTCGCTGCAGGAGGAGCAAGAGAAAGAGTCTTAATAAGGTACTTACTGAACAGGTTATTCCAGGTCATATTGGTCTTCTCCTCAGACTCCATTGGTTGGAAAACAAGTACCCTGTGATGGTCAAGGTTTTTTAGCAATTCTTCACAGTAAAACGGAATCCCACAGCTTCCCTCCACCAGGTACCTGCAGTAGAAACAAGGCGACCTGTTTATACCGAACAACCATCTTTTAGGAAGGAAAAATATTTGACGCATCTAATTATTTGAAAATAACTCATTATTTGAAAATAACAATATTCTCTATTTGTTTCCACTTGTTTTCCTTTTTTAGGGTTGCTTTTTTTCTTTTTCTTTCATTTTTTAAAATTACATAAAACATTTACATTTTTTCAAAGCCCAAACTATATAATCAGGTACATCCTCGGTGTTGCCTCCCTTGCTCACCTTCTAAATAACCATGTCAGTTAGTTTCTGGCTTATCTTCTCAATGTTTGTTTTTAAACATATAAAAAAAGCACACAGACGTATTTCATCCCCCCCCCCTTTTTTTTTACCTAAAAGACAGCATGTTACACCCCTACTGCATGCTTGGCTACACCTTGTTTTTTCACGCAAGAATATATCCTGCCCATCCCTCCATTATCAGTAGATCTTTCTCATTCTTTTTAATGCCATGTAGTGCTCCACAGTGTGCATGCATCCTATTTTATTCCACTTATCCTCTCAGAGATGGACATCTGGATTGTTTTCAGTCTTTTGCTAATACAAATAATGCTTCGATAAAACTTTGTCCGTATGTCTCTTTATAGCTTTGTTAATAAATCTTTGAGATAGATTCCTAGAATTGGGGTTGTTAGATCAAAAGGTAAATGCCCATGTATACATACACATACACACGAAATACACACATACACAGAAAGAGACAGAGTGAGAGACAAAGGGAAAGAGCATGCCAAATTTGTGCCTGGAGTTCTTTTAAATGGGACTTTGTCCCAGACATCTTTCTCCCAGAAGCAAAGCAAACTCATTAGAAAGAATGGATGCAGATACCAAGGTGGGTTGTAAGCAGCCAGCTAAAGAAGGGGCACTGTCCACGTTGTTAAGGTGACCACTGTCTGGACCCCAGTGGCGGAGTCACTGAGAGGCTCAGAGAGCAGTGACTAAAGAGCCCGCCTTCAACACCTGCCACAGATGGAACAGCAAGTCCAGCCTACATTACCGACAGTCGAGTGAGACCTTGCTTATTTGCAGGTTGTGTCTTTAAAGCTTACCAGTTTGCCTTTTGTGACACTTGCCCATGATGATGCCCTCTGTCACTGTTGATTAAACCGAGCATGTCTACACCCAGCACGATGAAAGGGAAGCCAAACTGATGTTTAAGGAGGTGTAACAGGAGCAATAACAAGGAAAAGGTGATCAGGGTCCATCATACCAACCATGATAAATGGTGCTTTTGAAAGATAGGACCAGTGAAAATACCGAAATGGGCGCTTTCAGATATATCTTAAGAAATCTGATGAAGTCTGGATCTGGGGAATGGACACAGATGTGAAGACCGCAGGAGAGAAACAGGATACCCACGTGTCCAGTTCTTTGGGGATGCCCCTGACGCTGAGGTCTAGGCAGACCTTGTTGCGGATGTCCTTAGGCTGCACGGCTCCAAGGGTGATGTAGGTGGTGTTCCTGTTCTTCATTATGGTTCTGGCCGCCGTACAGGGTATGTCAACGAAGGGCGACAGGGACATGATGATGAAGACAGGAACCGTCCGGATCAGCTTCTCCATAAAGGCCCAGGAGGCTGAGTCAATAAACTGGCCTTCATCGATGATGAAAATAATCCTTTCCTCTTTCACTGTCTGGACAAAGTAGAGAAACAGAAAAATGCTGGAAGACTTTGGATTTTTTTTCGCGTGTATGGGTATGCATGTGTATGCATTGATATTGTGGTGCTAAATTGAAATCTTCTTTCCAATAAATTTGTATTAATTTAGATTCCACTAACTTGGAATGTGTGGCAATTTGGACAGAGCTGGCTGGAATGGATTCTTACTTCATCAAATCCTTGTGTAAAGATAATGCAGATTTGTAGGGTAAATGGGGTTGTAGCCAAGTAAAAGCACCTGCTACATAAAAAGAACAGATAGCTTCACCACACGTCATTTTAATCTACTGACACATGAAGATCTCCTGGGTTTATCTAATTGACATTTGTTCAACCAACATGCATGTATTCAACACACACTAATTGAGCACCTACTGGGCTAGGTGCTACATACGCAGTGCTGAAAGAAGCTAAGCTAGTTGATGCTATTTAGCCCGAACTGTGTTATATGTTATACTTGAAAACAGATCATGGGTCCCTTTCCAGGTGTAGGCTACCTTTGCCCTCCCTAGTCTGAATTATTTATTCACTCATTAAGCATTTACTGTGCACCCATCAGGGTTCAGATATTGTTCTAGGTGCTGGGGATAGAGTACTGAACAAAATAAGAGCTTACATGGTAGAGTCAGCCCCTTGCAGAGTGGGCCCTGCATTGCACTGTGTGAAGTGTCTAAATGGAGAAGACCTTCCCCCCTCTCACAGCTCCACATTGCTCTTGGCTTCTTTTGGCCCTTCTGGGAAGACGCTCAGTTAACCCATTCTTCCCCTCCATGTTTTTACCATCTAAAGCAGCAAAGGCTACATTAAAATTTCAGCTTTCATAGGACAATCATTATAAAGTATTATAACCTGTTTGATTACATATACATAATGCGTCTACCCCTGCAGCCCCATTCTGTTACTAGCTATTTAACTCTTCTTGAGGACGTTTTGATTAATGGGGAGGTTAGCGTTACATGTGTTTTGTTTTTGGCTGATACCTTTAAAAATATGGGGCAGATAGAAACGTGAGTTTTTGCTATATGATGGCCTTGTCAGTGAATCTTTGTAAACTGAGGAGAGTCAAGCAGGAAACAAAAAAAGCATGAATTCTGGGTGGGGGGATGGGTTAGCCTGGTGATGGGTATTAAAGAGGGCACGTTCTGCGTGGAGCACTGGGTATTATGCACAAACAATGAACCATGGAACACTATATTAAAAACTAATGATGGGGCGCCTGGGTGGCTCAGATGGTTAAGTGTCTGCCTTCGGCTCAGGTCATGATCCCAGGGCCCTGGGATCGAGTCCCGCATCGGGCTCCCTGCTCCTTGGGAGCCTGCTTCTCCCTCTGCTTCTCTCTCTCTCTCTCTCTCCCTCTGTCTCTCATGAATAAATAAATAAAATCTTTATAAAAAAAAACCCAAAAACTAATGATGTAATGTATGGTGATTAACATAACAATAAAAATTTTTTAAAAAGCCTGAATTCTATAATACATCATAGTCCTTGGTTTCTTCATATTTAAAATGAGAAGACTGGGGGCACCTGGGTGGCTCCATCCTTAAGCGTCTGCCTTCGGCTCAGGTCATAATCCCAGGGGTCCTGGGATCAAGCCCCGCATCCGGGTCCCTGCTCCGCGGGAAGCCTGCTTCTCCCTCTCCCACTCCCCCTGCTTGTGTTCCCTCTCTCGCTGTCTCTCTCTGTCAAATAAATAAATAAAATCTTGGGGCGCCTGGGTGGCTCAGTCGTTAAGTGTCTGCCTTGGGCTCGGGTCATGATCTCGGGGTCCTGGGATGGAGCCCCGCATCAGGGTCCCTGCTCCACGGGAAGCCTGCTTCTCCCTCTCCCACTCTCCCTGCTTGTGTTCCCTCTCTCGCTGTCTCTCTCTGTCAAATAAATAAATAAAATCTTTAAATAAATAAATAAAATCTTCAATAAATAAATAAATTAATAAATAAACAAATAAAATGAGAAGACTGATTTGGATCCTCTCTAATGTGACTAAAAGCCAACATCTACATTGCACTTACAATGTTCCAAGCCCTGTGTGATGCTCTTTACATAAATTAACTCATTTACTCCTCATAACATTCACAGGAAGTGGTCCTATTGAATCTATTTACTGAGAAAATTTCAGTTAAGTAACTTGCTAAGGTCACACAGATAGTCAACGTTCTGAAGATTACTGTCATGGCATTTACTTAAAGCGTAGCTTTAGTGGTGATTTCCAAACTAGACTGCTGAATTATTTATTCACTCATTAAGCATTTACTG